ACGCCGTCATGTCTAGAGTTACCTACCAGACCACTTAATTCCACTGATCTGCTCTGTTCAAAAGGTCCCACTCAGTCTGTGTTATATAACATTTATGACTCTAAGGTTCGGCTCATGGGAGATAATCTCAGGTGTGACAATTAGTTCCCCATTGCTCGCCCCTACAGTCTGTCTCTGGTCAGGAGATAATTATACGACACTGGGATTCAGAACATCTGACGGAGGTTCTAACCTTGAGTTAGAAATTCATATGGGATGGGTGGGGTGTGGGGGGGGGGGGGTTCCTGCCTCACCCACTGTGCTTTAAAAGTGGCATTTAATTTCATTCAGTATCTGCAAGGGAAGCTGACATATTCTTCCACGGGAAAAAAATGTGGGCCATTTTTTTAAATTCATATAAATTTTATACAAATTAAAATAGTCTTATTAAGTTGAGTAGAGATATTTTACTATGTATAAACTCTCAAACCACACAATCGCGCGTACTTGTCACGATGATGTGATAGGCTAAACTTAACGCTTGATATTGACCCTTCTTTACTTCTCATATAGGTCTCACTCCTTAAATAACCACATTCTTACATTCCCCCCGTCTACCAACCCACGCATTAAGCTACCTAAGTGTATGGAATAAGACTTAAGTACAGAAGACAATGAAACAAACCAGAACTTTCGCCGCTGTTTACAACCAGCAAACACAATGAAAAGGATTCACATACTTATCAATTATAAATCGTTATCATCCAAGTCTTGAGTAATATCAAACCTACTCAAGCCTCGGGCAGTCGCTATACCTCTAAACGTCATTAACCCCTCCTGTAGATCGTATTGTCTTAACCTATAGCGTATTTATCTCATTACTAAATTGGGTACTAACCAAACTCAATCCTCACAGTCCCCCCCCCCCTCCCCACCCCCTTATCGGAGCCCCCCTCCCCCTTCTTTTTAAACCAGAAAATTATATTTGCGGCGTTTATTTCACTACTTGCATCAGTTTGTAAAAAAAAAAAAATCAGTTTAGGAGCTGTTTACTTAACATCAGGATAAAGAATACAGAGAATGTAAACATGTCACATGTCAAAAATGATCCTTCTATTTACTGCAGTCGCAGCAGTTTTACACGCGAACTTTGTAGGTTGCGGTCAGGTTAAATCTGACGTTGTCAACCCAATAAGTCTCCAGTCCAAGCTGGCAGTAACAGCAGCTGCGCATGAGAGGATACATTGCTTGCTGCCAGCTATTTTCGAGTCAGACAGGCTAGAACTGTGTTTTTTCTGTGTGACTGTGCACCTAAAAAATACAACTTAACCAATGATCTAACTTATATCTCTGCAGATTTCTCGCTAATCACAACGTTTTGAGCTTTGTTGTGCGTTTTTTATGGCGTCCTGTGTCTTCAGTGCGGCTCGTTCTCTCTTTCTTAAAGGCGACTGGTAACTCATCCGAAGCGTCGCACACTTTAGATCAGGGGTGTTCAAGATGTCAACATGTCAACTAGTCGTAAAAAGTAAGTAAAGGACCCTTTCCACGCCTTTAGGCGTATAGGGCGAACCCACGACCTTCTGATCCGCGGCGAGCGTCTAGCCGCTCGGCCACGGTGACTCCCGTCTACTAGTCGACCGGCAAGCAATGAGAGGCAACCCACAGTCTTTGGCTTCAAATTCAGAAATCACTAGCGATCTATTTTAGACACTTAGTTAAAGTAGACGTTATTGTGTAAAGGTACAATAGCTCTCGACCCCTGCAGTAAATCGTAAAACGAGCGCGGGATTTCAGAAACCTGATTTAAGCTTGATGGGGCTCTAAGCTATGTAAGGCCCTGAGCTCGTACTGTTTTAAATTATACCAGCTAATCTCAGAAAGCTTTAAAATATATACCCATTTTAAATATACAGATGATGAATCAATTTTGTCGTTTAATTTTTGGCAAAATAAATATTAGCGACTGTTCTGCCGACTGTTGAGACGATACTGTCACATCCTCTCTTATGAATACTCTGCATAACTAGTAATCATGTTGCATAGTTGTCTGTACTGCATGAGAATCCATATTGTACGACCTTCCGCACTGCCCTGTAATCAACACTGCGCATTTGTCCACACGGTACGTCCACATTGCACGATTGTCCCATACATTTGTTCACATCGCACAGTGTCCGAAAAACCTATGTATCTGTGTTGTACAGTTGCCCACACTGTATAATTCTCCACATTGCAGTTTCCGAACAGCACAATTCTCCATTTGCATATTAGCAGCACTGCACAGATCTCTGCAGTGCACGGTGTGCTTTTTTGCAGAGTACTCTTCATTGCACTGTTGTTTTTATTAGATAGATTACACTTCTGGCTTTTGATGGAATTTCTGATTAAAGTTGAACTCTTCTCGTAAATGGTCTTGGCTCACAGGTCGACTCAGCATTAAATGGGTACCAGGTAAAGTCATGCGAGGTAAAAGCGGCCAGTGGGATGTTGACCATATAACCCATCAAATGCTGACTGAACTCTACAATCTAGGTCTAGCACTATATGCACAATGTGCCTGAAGACGAGGGAAAAGTTAGTTTACTGATTTTTTAAGGTGGAACCGTCTTTAAGTTTAGGTGGGCGTCGTTCATCGAGGTATACGTGGGCTTCATACAGGTTCCATTTTCATGCTAAGATATGAGTTCGAATCTCGGGGTTGCATTAATTAGACTGTATGTGGATGAAAACTGGAGTACTTTGGAGCAAGGGAAAAGCTAGAAGGGAAGTGATACACTAACATAGAAGCCACAGGACAGTTTGACATCTCGACACTGAAGGAGATCTGTATCAGACAACTGACGACACACAACTGGGTGGAGTGTTTTGAGTGTTAAGCTATGAACTGATATCACAGCGCTTGGCATGTTCCCATTAGCTCCCTTTCCTCATTTTCAGCAGCTAGCGAAGAAATCTAATTCTAATGGTGACAGTGTCAGTTTAATTAAATGTCCTTGTTGCTTTTCCTCTGAGGGAAGAGTATGCACCAGATGTCCTATTCACTCCAGGTTTCATGATTCTCTCCATACCATAATGATCTATTTGGGTCTCCGCATTGTTCACTTGCTCCTAAAAGGCCTTTACACCGTCTGAGTGGCGTGCATAAATGCTCCACTTATTGGTGCCAAATCAGCTAATCTGTCCGCCTATTTATTTCCCAACATATTTATTGCCGCGTGGATTATAGGACTTTGAAGAAAACATAATGTGTGTGTGTGTGAGAGAGAGAGAGAGAGAGAGAGAGAGAGAGAGAGAGAGAGAACGAGAGAGAGAGGGAGGGAGAAAGATTATAGAAGACATCACCCATCCTGTGCCGATTGGTCTATATAAATATAGGTCTAGCCCTATATGCCCTATACACCTAATGGCGTATGATCATCTCAGTTGTTCCGTACTGTTCTTTTCATTGCAGTTTCTGCAGCCACTGGTGCCATGTAGTTTCTGTGTGATTCAAAATACACTGACTTTATAACACGACGGAGTTACACTGCACTATAAAACGAGGCAACCAAACAGTTGTAGTAAAGATAGCAAAGGACTCCTTTCACATGTGAATCTGAACCGGAGCTTTCCAAACTGTTCTTGTTGGTAACACACTATTTAGAAACAAACATAAGTTCAGAATAATTCGCTGCTCCTCCTTGAAGCATGTCAAAAGTGTGGCAGCCATCTCTAAATTGTATTTTTCTCGTCACTGTGTTCGTCTATTCTTTGATCTCCAAAATGGAGCCCCGGAACGTAAACGGAGAGGTACGAATTCGATCCCAGTACTTTCGGACCAGTCTGCAAGCGTCCAGCAACTGCGCTATTGTGGTTCAGTCAACTGTAAACTGTCGTTTCCGATGCAACACAAAGTTTACTTTCTTTTCTTTTCTCACACTGACAGCAAGAATCTATCGTATTATCAAGCAAAATGGATAAACGTAAATTTCACAAAGGTCTTTGATCGTGGACGAAAATTAAAAATTCCTTTTCTTCTCAATCTTCTCAAATGACAGCTGAAAATTTACAAACCTAATGTTTATATAATATGTCAGTATCGTTTATATGGGCTATTTAATCTCGACTAACTCGACATAACTTTTGAAAACTAGAATCCTAATTTTTCCTTTAATATTTTGCAACAGTCTAATCTTTTCTACTTTGTTTTCAAATCATTTATGCAACTGCAACGTAAAATATGCGACACATCAGTTACGAACTGTTAGTATAGTGTCTTCAGATACCTATGAAATTTTTGATAACGCAGGATCTCTCAATATATTTTTTTAAAGACACACAGACATGTGTTTGTGTGTGTGTGTGTGTGTGTCTGTGTGTGTGTGTGTGTGTGTGTGTGTGTGTGTGTGTTTTCCTGCTTAAATCTATTGCGATCTTGCAACATCAGTTGTATATATATTTGAAGACGCTAAAAAAAGGTTACAACTATAAACAACATAGAACATCGCGTTACCCCAGAAAGTTGAGATTGTATTTTTCTATAAAAAGCTTATAGAATGTTATCTCATGTTACATGTCATAACGACCAGGGAGTCAATGCGAATTTTGAAGAATAATTCCACCACGATTTTGATCTGAATTCACGATAACAGAGCTGACAGGAAAGCTAGCCACTGTCATACGGAGGCGGTCCGTTGTCGATGGTGAAAACTCCATTATTAGTTCATCGGCTGTAAATTTCGGTGGAAAGTTTTAGTTGTTCATCCATTTCTGCACTTTGGCCTTCTTCCAGAACTTGAGTTTTGCGTACACATCCCTTTTACAGATGTAGTTTATTTGTGAGCAGGCAATTTTCTCCTGTAGTACTGAAACCGCAAGAATTATTTTTTTTTTAAAAACTGTTTTCGTTGTTGTTTATAACTTGGTGGCACCATTCCATATTCTAAAATCGCTAGCGTTCTAATATGTTTAGGAGAGCTCCAAACAACTGCCTTAAAATATGTCATTTGTGTAAGAGTATTTGTTTTGATCTTCCTCAGGGTGCCTGTACACAGCCTATTGTTAGTTGGTGCTGTTGGGGTGTCCCTGAGCATGTTCTTCATCCCTGTTTGCGGCAACCTGGCCTCGCTCATCATAGTTCTCATCATCATGGGCTGGTGTATGGGATGTCTGGACTGTCTGGCCAACCTACAGATCATTCAGATGTTTGGCAAAAACGTGGGGCCTTTTCTACAGGTAGGGAGTTTGATGATCAGCGTGCTTTGTTTGTTAACGTGTTTACACACACACACACACACACACACACACACACACACACACACACACACACATACACAAACACACACAAAAACAGACAGACAGACAGACAGAAGAGAACAACAGGATCAAGATATGAAGGGCGTGTGCATGCCTGAAATAAGTGCATATCTAAAGCAGCCTTTGCATTACGTGCTCTTCAGGAAAGAGGCGACTGGTTGAACATTGACAAGTCACCCAGCCTAGGAATGGATGTCTGGATCTCCGGTCTCCGGCACTCAAATTCACTTTCGCCTGTGATGCTGTTGAAGACAACATCCGGTTGCTGTCACTGTCTAGGTCTATGAGGTAAAAATTGTACGGGGCCACAAAAGAGCATGGGCATTCGTTGCACCCTGTGTAGACAGAACAGTCCGAGAAGCCAGATGTGCCTTCTCTGCGACTGCTAACAGCATGACGATGGAAGTGACGTTGACGTCATCATTATTTGGCTTGAATCCCATTTGTTTCACTTAGTGATTCTTTGAGTATGATCCTGTGGGTCACAACTTAATCTATTTACGCAAAAACTGGATTGAGTCACTATAAAGGTCTACCGTGCATAGGGTCACCTGTATCGTTGTCCTGTCCTATACAGGTGTTGTCGGCAATGAAAAAGCAGATATATTGGCTGACACTGCCATAGTTGCAGATGGGTGGCTTATGGGTGGCCCTGATATTTTAATCCGAAACAGAAAGACGACGATCGGAGGATTCTGGAGGCAATATGTCGGTATAGCTGCTTCGAATGCAAGGAATACAGATTTTTTAAAGTCAGACACGCGTAGTAGCACGCAAGCCTTATGGAAAGTCTTGTCAACCGGCATATAACTGTCACTCCTAGTCGTTAGAAGCTGGTGTATATGTTGAGCAGGGTATCCGAGGACCTCCTAGCGTGGTACTGACACACAGATACACACACACACACACACAGATATATATATATATATATATATATATATATATATATATATATATATATATATATTAGGGCTGTACCGAATATTCGCTTCGTATTCGCTCCGGGGCCGAATAGTGGACCTAATAACTATTCGGTATTCGGCCGAATAGTTGCGGTCGGACCGAATACGAATAGAGGTTACACCCGTTTCTGCATACACTGCGATGGACTGAAATAACTCTCTATTTAAAAAAAATAGTTGCTGATGCCTAAGTTTGTCGTAGCGGGAAAACTGCGACCCGGTTGCGTGGTACCTAAGCTCTCAAGGTCTTTGCCTGCTGACTTAATCGAGGCATTACAGCAGAGGTTCTCACACTGGGTGCGTATGCCAGGGGTGCGGCGGTGAAAATCAAGAAAAGTCGGCTATAAATTGTGACATTATTAAAGAAGGCATGAAGATACTTAAATTTAAATTGTCTTTTCTCGCCACTGTCAAAAAGAGTGTTTCCTCCCTGTTTCGCTCTCAAAGTTTATCATACTGCATAAAATGCCTACCGCAGCATGCTAGCAATTGTCTTTGTATTTATATGGAGGTGCGACCGATCCTCCATCTGTATTCGTGAAGTCGCAGCGGATAAGTGATGTTGTGATTAAATTTTGGCTGAAATTTTAAAGTGGAAAATGTGGTCTGTACAATAGTAACTGTTAGCCTCGTCAAGTAAGAACTTATAATTAAAGGCAATCCGTTCTTTTTTTGTTGTTGTTGTCGCTTGTGTGTGTGTGTGTATGTGTGTGTGTGAGTGTGTGTGAGAGAGAGAGAGAGAGAGAGGAGAAAGAGAGGGAGATAGAAAGAGAGAGAGAGAGAGAGAGAGAGAGAGAGAGCATTCATGCATTCGTTCTTTCAGGGTGTCTTCCCCCAAATCAAATTTGAAGATATTGCTTACGAGAATATGAGGGTGCGTTTAAATCATATCGAACGAACGGCAGAGCGAACGATGGTTTTGAAAGAGGCGGGAGCGCGAAGACAACTAATCACAGACATCAGAGAAGACAGTCGTCATTTTTTGGCCAAATTATGAGAAGAGGGAAAACAGAACTTGTGATGACCACTAGAAAGATCTGTGGAAGGAGGGACAGAGGGAGACAACGAGAGAAGATTCATGACAGTCTTGTCGCATGGCATGGAGGTGTGTCAGCACACGGACTGATACATGCTGCAGGAGATCGCAGATTGCAGAGAGGCATAACGCCCACGCCAGTCGGCAAGGCACCTGATTGTGATGATACACTATTCGTATTCGTATTCGGCCGAATAGTGAAAATTACTATTCGGCACAGCCCTAATATATATAAATAGGTAGCCGTTTGGGTCAGTGGACAGGCAGATAAACTTCCAGAATCACACATTTAGGTATAATAAATATTTACTGAAATCTACGAATAAAGGCCTGTACTAAAAGCAATGTATAAGTGGGATGTTGCCCAAAGGAAGGGGAAGGACATTATAAAGAATAATATAAAAAATCTCCTCCTCGAACCTATCTCAACTCTCAGCTTTTAAGAGCACCAATAAAGAATGTCGCGGTGAGTGGAAGCCGAAACCCACAGCCAAGCTGCTTTAGTAACATGAAAAAAAAATGTTCGTTAGGCGGGGACTTAGACTTATAGTGTTTTAGCCCGACAAGTTATGTTCTGTATGAAATCTAATTAGTGGTAATAGTAAAACTAGGCACACTAACTACAAGTCCTATTCCGAATCAAAACAAACGGAACTATAATCATCTCTTTGAACATCTGTTTATTTTCCTGAACACAAAACTGACGTGCTTAACAGATAATATTAACAATTAACATCGTGTTCCTCCACTCCATGTGCTAAGCACTTCAGCTAACGCACGTTAAAGTTAGCACCCAGCAACCTTAAATTAAATATATCTGAGCGATGATACAAACTGATATATATATATATATATATATATATATATATATATATATATATATATATATATATATATATATATATTACCTATTGGAGGCAATTCAGATCTAACTTTTGAATGTACCACCCATGAAATCAGTCAGACAACCCGTCTAACTCGGCTCAGTCTGCCTCACCTGCGCGCGTTCAGAACATTTGCGTCATGCGACAACAGGGCCACAGTACAGAGTACAAGCCGAGAGCCTGATACCAAAAGGCATTCCTCGCCCGGTTCCAGGCCCTTTTGTAACCTCCTGACCCTAAGCGTGCCAGATTTTATTTCACATTCAGCCAAACCAAAACTAAAAAAACAGCCTCGGCCACCAGGCTACATGACAATTGAGTACTAAAATGCATTGACAAAATTGTCAATTATAGTGAATCTTTGAATGTGAGTGAACAAATAAAAATTGTTAGGGATCAGGAATGGGGCTAGGGGAGGGGGCATTGATGCCTGAGATGTTTTTTTTTTTTTTATATCAATGTTGCAGATACCTTGAACAGTAAAAGTAACAAAAAGATTTCATGGAAATAGTTGATGACTGTAAATGTATAAACGATTTTATATAGACATGTGTTTTTTATTGTGTGTGTGTGTGTGTGAGTGTGTATGTGTGTGTCTGTGTGTGTGTGTGTGTGCTTTTCATCGCAATTTAAATTATACATTACCCCCCTAAGCCCCCCCCCCCCCCCAACTAAATGTTTTTATCTTCCTCGGATTATCACTAAATACATATTTATATTTTGATCTCTTACTTAGGCCATACATTGCTCCTATGGTATCGGTGCTTTCATCAGCCCGATGATTGCATCAGCGTTTCTGCTGAACAGAGACTGCACGCCTTACATCGACGGCTTCACCATCGAGACCCCTACATACGAAACCAGTTCCTATAATGATTCTAGCGAACACCTGACAATGATGACACTACATATTCCACCACAGCCTCAACGCGTGTTCAGATACCGTCACATGAGCAAACTTCCCAAAGCTTTCTACATTCTTGGCGGCTTGCAGGTAAAGTTTCGAATCAAACCCTAACCCAGTATGTAGAGTTTAAGTAAAATTCTGTAAAGCAATGTTTCCTCGTTGTGAATTTGAACAAATAGGACACCGGCAATAGATTGCACAATTTATTGCCTTGGATATTTCGATGTATCTCGTAAGGTGAATACTACATTAGTGAATTGTAATCGATTGTGAGTTTTAGTCAAAGAATTAACTATTTTGCTTCATTTCAATGAATTGTTACTGTAGTATGCACCTGACGAAATACAGCGAACACATGCCAGGTAATAAATTGTATAAACTACTTCAGTTGCTCAGTCAGGAGACGCTCCATAATACAGGTGGGCTGTAATGGAATTCCAACACTTCTGTCTATTGTCCTAGCTGAACGCTCTGAGACTTCTGTTCGGCCACCTGTTGATGTCTCACCGCTTGTATCGCTGTCTACGTCTTAGGCAGACGTTAACCAACATTTTGCTTTAAAAAATACAATATTTTAATGTGTCAGAAATGTTTCACCTGTTTCTTAATTTGTTTTCCCTTATCTTTCAGCAACTCTCTCTTCATTTCTATTCTCCACAGAAGCTCTGTATTTGACTGTTTTTCAATATCATGTAGCAGGTCCTTTGCATAACGTCACTCTCATCATCGTCAGCCTGAAAGAAACTCCTTTCTCGCCAGCTCTCCATGATTAATTTCTTTTTTTTTTTTTTCAATACATTATTTAGTCTCTAAAAGTTAGGAGATCTGAGAAGCGTAGTGCAAACTACCCGGAAAAGTGCTGCGTAGGCATATGTGGTAAAGTACTCAGAATAGAGTTGTCTTAGCGTCTGATGTAAAGTACTCTACAATAAAGTGTCTTGGCATATAAGGAAAACTACACTGAATAGAGATGTTCGGTTATCTAACGTAGAGACAACTCTATGTGGATAGATTTTCTCGGATGCCTGAACAGCTCTATATAATGTTTTGACATTGGACGAAAATTGCAAATTTGTTTCTTTTTTGTTTCTTCGTAATGGCGCAGTGCCGGATTCGATCCCGATTGCAGGCGGTTTGGTAGCAAACCGTCTTGCGTTGGTTTCAACAGTGGTATCGAGATTCAACTATTCGGGAAGCAATGGCAGACTACAGAATATAATTTGTAAACCCCCCCCCCCCCCCCAACCCCTCTCCCAATAAAAATGATAGGGTTGGCTCTGCAAAGGATACGCAACTAACTTCTTGTCCAAACGGCAATTGAAAACACTTTTTCGACGCTGTTACAGTCCCCAAAGTAGGAGACTTGTAATAGAAGCGGCTTTGTAACTTTATGAAGGGCACACAAGAAGGAACTCTTGGCATGGAACGTTTTATATATATATATATATATATATACATAATATATATATATATATATATATATATATATATATATATATATATATATATATATATATATATATATATATTTAGCGGTATGTCTTTCCATACAGGGTTCTTAATGTCTTAGGCGAAGGAACAGTGAGAAATGACACCGTAGCCAGTCATTTCCAGGACTTTAAGTATACACCATGTAGGTGTGAATGCTCTAATCATCTTTTAACAAAACAGTGTAACTATATAAGACAATGAAATTGTGTTTATACTGGTGAGAGTTGTACATGAGTGTTCGTGTGTGTGTATACATGTATATATATATATATATATATATATATATATATATATATATATATATATATATATATATATATTATTCATCGACACCTTTGCGTATTTCCAAACGATCGTGTTATATTGTTCTACCAAGAGACATATGGCCTATGGCGATGGCCAGCGTGATTAGTAAGACCCGCCCGCTTAAGAAAATTCTTCCACATTTATAGCTTGGGATTTCAGGACCGTTTTTGTCAACATCTGCGTATTTGCTGAAATATACTTATGATACTATGTAGTTTGCCATATTATGTTTCAAAAAAGAATATTGACTAATAAAACTATCCCACACCAGCTTGCCATTGCCGCCCTTGTTGCCTACGTGATATTCCAAGAGAAGCTCGGAAAGCTGAAGCCTCGATATGTAACAACAGATCACCATGACAGCAGTCACGCGTTGCCAAGTTCTAAAGGTAACTGACTCACTGTTGGCCTCTTCTATTGTTTTTGTTATGCAAATGATTCAGTGTATATACAAGAGAAACGTTGTCATTGTTGAACAATAATATATCTTCTTCTTCTTCTTCTTCTTCTTCTTCTTCTTCTTCTTCTTCTTCTTTCTTCTTCTTCTTCTTCTTCTTCTTCTTCTTCTTATTCCTCTTCTTCTTCTTCTTCTTCTTCTTCTTCTTCTTCTTCTTCTTCTTCTTCTTCTTCTTCTTCTTCTTCTTCTTCTTCTTCTTCTTCTTCTTCTTCTTCTTCTTCTTCTTCTCTTCCACCTTGTACCTCATCGAAGTGTCAGGGGGAGATGTAACGTTCGTTGATGTGCTCTGTCATTAGCGCTATTAAGACAGCTGTTCATTTCTGTAATGCTGTTCTTAATGCCATAACTCCATGTTTTCCGAGATCTTTCACTCGCTCTTTTCCCGTTGTAACGTTTTAGTATGGCTCGCTGTGCCAGGTAGTACTCTGGCATTCTTGTTAGGAGTCCAGGCCACATTATTAATTGTTCGTTGATGACATGTAAGTCTGGCTTTAATTCTAGCGACTCTTGCTGTTGTAAATTACGTTCTTGTAGTCCATGCAGTGTGGTATTAATAATTATGTCTGCCCACAGTTTTCTGATACACAAAGCTGTCCATGTCATCGTACCAAACTATTCTTTCTTTATCTCTTTAGGTCAGTGGTTCTCAACTTTCCTAATGCCACGCCCCTTGAATACAGTTCCTCGTGTTGTGATGACAACACACAAAAAACTTGTAATTACTGCCTTTATTTTACCACTTTTGCGGTAAAGGCTTTGAGCCTGGGGATTTACGTACGAATGGCTAAAGCTGTCGCCACGACTGTACTGGTGGGGATTTTTTTGTTGTTGTTGGGTGTGGTGACCCCAACCACAAAATTAATTTCGTTGCTACTCCATAACTTCAGTGAATATCTGTTTTCCGATGGTCTTAAGCGACCCCTGTAAAAGACCCACATGTTGAGAACCGCTGTTCTAGGTCTCTATGTACCCCATCTCTCTCCCCCTACCTCTCTTGCTTTCACGATGAAATCCATTGGATTGTAGCCTTCTGGCGCAGTAATCAGCTTCCCCTATAAGGTAATTTCTGCACTTGTCTGTTGGGGTTTTATCATTCTCCTCTCTTATAAAACCCCATATTTGAAGCTTCCCCATATGAAATCCTCCCAGGCGTATCCTGCCTTGTTTATATTTTCTGCTTTTAAAACAGTCGGCGCATGTGGCTAGTCGCTTCCCAATGCCTAGGTGCCGTGTTTGATCCCAGCTGTAGACGATTTGTCTTGCACTGGCTTCGACAGGGGTACTGACAGCTGACTGTTCAGTAGGCAGGGGCAAGCTAATAAACGTACAAATGTACCTCTAAAAACCATAACAGCCAAAAATGCTGGGGTTGGTTCTGCAACTTCCTGTAAAGGATACGTAACTTACTTTTTTTTATTTGTAACAGTTAAGATAACCCTTTAACGTTTACTGCCGCTGGCCTGAGACGTCTACTCCCTCCCCTGTTCTACGGCAAGAGATGTGATGAGGAGGTGATCAAGTCCCTTACTTCTGATCTTAACTTTTTCAGTAACAATCAACTCACTACTATAAGTTCCTTGCTTATTGCAAAGATATTGTATGTTCTTGCATTCTTCTACAATAAACAATTTGGTTCTGAGTTATCAGTTTGGCTACTTCTGGCCTGTAGTGTCTTGGTCTCCTTTAGATGAAAGTATTTATTGCTTTTGAAATCAACTTCGAGGGTTTGGATTTAGTGAAAACAGCAGCTGCTTGGGACTTAAAGAGTTTAACTTGAACTTCCCTTATCATTTTGACTCTTAGCCGAACATAGATAGAGAGATTAGATCGTATACTAAATGGGGTCTTGCGCATTATACTAGGATGCACAAAGAATAGGCATGCAGGGCGATGCGTTCCTCCTTGATCTTCCAACCATAAAAATGAGAACATACATCTGCCTAGCATACCATCCTATGCACAGTGAGATTCGCAGACAGAAGGGTAAGTAAGTAAAAAAAATGTAAAGATCCCTTTTCACGCCTTTCGGCGCATCGGGCATATGGACAGAGCGTCCAATATTTTACAGACCATCAGCACTCTGTGGGTAATGTGGTCAGCATTACGCCGGCTGTCTTTACTTTCCCAGGACAGCCCATCCTGGTACCCATTTTAGGCTCGGTCGACCTGCGACGTCCCATACCCCGACAAAAATCCACGCAGCCTGCAGTGGGTTTCGATCGCGGTATGCTGGCTTACGAGTCGGACTCGCAACGCCTTAGCCACGGACGCCGCAGACAAAATGGTAGCAGGTTAAAAATAGGAAAACCCTGGGTGGGTCAGTCTGAGGATATTTTTCAACTAGTTTGTTCAACTAAGGACATAGAAACTGGTGAGGAATTTGTACGAGTGCCAGCAGAGCGGTAAACATCTATTTTAGTCTTCATTGAACTAGTTAGAGAATCCAGAAAACAAGGCACGTTGGTAGTTGAGGCAGTGGTTCAAGCCATAATTGTTGAAAAATTTTGCCACGAGATGCAGTTTTTCTACATTGACAGATCTGTCGTTCAACACGTACAAAGTTTATGGGCTTTTATGGTTCTGGTTCGATGTAAAACTGTAAAAGAAGATAAAGTGTTTTTGCCTCGACTACAACTCGTCTGTTTATGGAGGTGATGGCGATAACAAAAGCTATGATGTATCTAGAGGCACAGCATTTTTTTTTTCCAGACGTTCTCTCTAAGTGATTCCATGAGCATGCTTAAGAAGATAGACAAAGAATGGATTCGAAGAAAATGGCTGGAGTCGGTGAGGAAATCTCGTCTGATAGGAATGAGTTTCATTTTTATGCCAGCACACTCTGGGGTAAGAGGGAATGAACGAGCGGATTGGATTGCTGGCAGTCCACGGTAGGTACAGTTTGAGCAATAGACCGGGCTGACATTCTCAGTGCTCTCAAGGAGCAGGACGAGAATATGATTCAGGAGACGACCATGAGTCGGCAACATTCACAAGACCGCTAGAACTTTAGGTGAAAAGAGGTGTCGCCTAACATGAACACTTTACGGGTAGCCAAAGAAGAATAGTAAACCAACACGAAACTGGTGTTAGCAGTTGTCACACACTGGGGGATATTGTGAAGATGGGATCCTAGCGTTTACGGACTTGGCCAATGTGCAATGAGGATAATCTGTCAATTAAAAAACTAAACTAACTAACTTCGCGTAGCATTCAAAAGATTGTCTGATGTCACTTTTTACTGGGCCTGAGTAGACCACTGAGTTAGCCATACCGTTGGCTCCAAAACCTACTTTCTGATGAATACTGAATCTGGACCACTGCTGTATATTAATAGCTTATGTGGTTATAGTTATCCAAGTTATTCTCTATCTGTTGCTGTTACCTCTCTCTCTCTATCTCTCTCTCTCTCTCTTTCTCTCTCTCTCTCTTTCTTGCTCTCTCTCTCTCTCTCTCTCTCTCTCTCTCTCTCTCTCTCTCTGTGTGTCTGCTTTGGGGTTGTGTTTGTTTATGCAGGCGCCATTGTGGAACTTTGATTCGTTTACTCAAGCAAAGAATGGAGTCTTAGAGATCAATGAGTTGGAAATCCACGTGCCAATATCTCTTTCAATCCCACCACCAAATGTTTTCCCCCCCACACACAATTTCAAAATATTACTTCCTTAATTCTGATATGAATTCACCTCAGCTTCCGCCTGAGGCAGTTTGGCCATCTGTGGGAAAATACTCATTAATTTCATTCGGTTAAACAGGCACAACGAGAAATAGATCTAGCATTGTGAGTGAGTCAATGAGCAAGCGAGTGAATGGTTGAGGGCGTGAGTGATTAAACAAGCGTGTGAATGAGTGAAGAGTGAGTGCTTGATTGAGTGAGTGAGTGAGTGAGTGAGTGAGTGAGTGAGTGAGTGAGTGAGTGAGTGAGTGAGTGAGTGAGTGAGTGAGTGAGTGAGTGAGTGAGTGAGTGAGTGAGTGAGTGAGTGAGTGAGTGAGTGAGTGAGTGAGTGAGTGAGTGAGTGAGTGAGTGAGTGAGTGAGTGAGTGAGCAAGTGACTAAGTGACTGAGTCCGCCTGTCACAACATTCCTCCTACACAAGGGGCCAGCCGACAACTAAAGGCTTGGCCTGCCCCGCCAAAACATAAAGTTAGTGGTTACAGGTAGGTGGTGAGTGAGTGAGTTAATGAGTCAGTCAGTCAGTGTGGGACTGAGTGAATGAATGAGTGAGTGAGCGAGCGACTGAACAAATGAATGAGGTAGTGAGTGAAGTCGTGAGCGAATGAGCTAGCAAGTGACTAAGTGTTTGAGTGAGTGAGTTAATGAGTGAGTGTGTGTGTTAGTTAGTGAGTCAGTCAGTGAGTCAGTGAATACAAATGTTGTAGACCGGTTCTAAGAATATCATGGGTGAAGAAAAGAACAAATGCATCCATACTTTAAGAACTTAATATTGAAGAAGGCTGGATATCAAAGACGACAGAACACAGAAAATTGAAATATTTTGGTCACTTGAAACGTCACGAAAGTTTAGAGAGAACAATAATGGAGGGGTATATTCATGTAGGCAGGCCAAACAATTTCTTGAGGCCTCAGAGATGTGGTTTTACAAAAGAATGCTTAGAATACATTGGACAGCCAAAAAGAGCAACTAAGAGGTTTTAAAAGGGGTTGGAGCCCGAAGACAACTTATCACAGATATCAGAAGGAGACAGTCCTCATTTTTCGGCCACATTATAAGAACAGGGAAAATAGAACATGTGACCTATGGAAAGATCTGTGGGAGGAGGAATATAGGAAGGCAACGAGAGAAGATTCTTGACAGTCTTGTTGCATGGCATGGAGGTGTGTCGGCACACGAGCTGATAAATGCTGCAGGAGATCGTGGATTATGGAGAGGCATGATCGCCCACGCCAGTCGGCAAGGCACCTTTTGATGATGATGATGATATGCCTGTAAAGAAAGGAAGAAGAAGGCCTAAGAGAAGATTGGTGCAGGATGTGGGGGATGATCTCCAGATCGGTGTTTCGGACGCTGGACATCTTGCTTGTGATCGAGTTTTCTGGAGGGTTGTTATGGGAGCCAGCTTCTGCAAAGGACATGCTTCTACTGACTGCAATGAAGCAGGACAAATTACTTCAAAAGAGAATAAAAAAAAAAAATTACAATCAATGAAAGAAATGAAAAGAAGATTACACGGTCAAATGAAATGATGAGAAAGCTCTGAGACAGAGTTAACATGGCAGCTTTAACAACTTAAAAGAACTGCCTGTGAATCCTAGTTCAACGGGCAGCAGGTCTGCGCTATTCCATCATTGTAAGCATTCATTTAAACTTAACCGACATTCTTGTGTTAACAGGCTGTGTATTTTAGCCCAGCACGCAGCAGGTATATTCGTATGCATCATTGTTGCCACTCGTTTGATCTCAGCCCGTGTTATCATGTTCACGGACTGTATTTTTCTTTAATGCCACCACGATTAAGTATTAAAGTACACAAGCAGATTGAATTCACCGGTTGGCGCAGATCGATATTGTCATCTGCCAAAGAGAAGCTTTGCCTCAGAACATCAACTGTTGTCTTAATGTTTCCAGTCGTCTTCTCCCTCGTCACAATGTTCATCTACCCCCCCCCCCCCCCTTTTTTTTTTCTTTCTTTCCAAACACACACTCGCACGCACACACACACACACACACACACACACACACACACATCTTGGATATCAATTTATTTGATAATTTTAATTATTTTGATTTATTTAATAATGGCCGGTGATGAATATTTAATTAGAGTACTGAAGTTAAATGCGAGAGGAACCAAGAAAACTGCATTAGGTTATCTATTGGTCTTTCTCCGCAGAACGTCTAACCGCATGTCAAGAGCGTCACACAAAGCACTAACCTCATAGCTCCGTAAAAACTACACTTGTAAATTAAACGATGTGTCCTGTGAATCAAACCCACGACTTTCTAAGCGCGAGGCAGCGGCTTGCCAATTCGCTACGGCGACCTCCAGAAATGGAGTGTATGAGTTGAGGATGAGATTTGCGTACATTAGTGTGAGACTGGCATACGTTTTGTGAAAATGGCATATGTTAGTGTGAGAATGGCATATGTCAGTATGAGAAGGGCATATGTCAGTGTGAGAATGGCATATGTTAGTTTGAGACTGAGATACGTTAGTGTGAGAATAACTTATGCTAGTGTGAAAATGGCATATGTTAGTGTGAGAATGGCTTACGTTAATGTGAGACTAAGATACTTTAGAGTGAGAATGGCATATGTTAGTGTGAGACTAAGATACGTTAGTATGAGAATTGATTACGTTAGTGTGAGAATAGCATATGTTAGTATAAGATTGGCATGTTAGTGTGAGAGTGGCATACGTTAGTGTGAGACTGATATACGTTAGTATGAGAATGGCATATGTTAGTGTGAGAATGGTATACGTTAGTGTGAGAATGGCATAAGTTAGTGTGAGACTGAGATACGTTAGTGTGAGAATGGCATACGTTAGTGTGAGACTGAGATATGTTAGTATGAGAATGGCATATGTTAGTGTGAGACTGAGATACGTTAGTGTGAGAATGGCATACGTTAGTGTGAGACTGAGATACGTTAGTGTGAGAATGGCATACGTTAGTGTGAGACTGAGATATGTTAGTATGAGAATGGCATATGTTAGTGTGAGAATGGTATACGTTAGTGTGAGAATGGCATAAGTTAGTGTGAGACTGAGATATGTTAGTGTGAGGATGGCATACGTTAGTGTGAGACTGAGATACGTTAGTGTGAGGATGGCATACATTAGTGTGAGACTGAGATACGTTAGTGTGAGAATGGCATAAGTTAGTGTGGGACTGAGATACGTTAGTGTGAGAATGGCATAAGTTAGTGTGAGACTGAGATACGTTAGTGTGAGGATGGCATATGTTAGCGTGAGATTGGGATACGTTAGTGTTAGATTGTAATACGTTAGTGTGTGGATGGCATATGTAAGTGTGAGGATGGCATACGTTAGTGTGAGAATGACACACGTTAGTGTGAGATTGGGATACGTTAGTGTGAACATGACACACGTTGGTGTGAGACTGGCCTACACTTGTTTGAGATTGCCCTAAATTAGTGTGAGACGGGCATACGTTAGTGTAGGGATGACATACGTCACATTGAAATATTGTCATACTTTAGTGTGAGATTGGAATGCATAAAATATAAAACTAAATTGAGTAAGGTGTGGCAATGGCCTAATTTAGTCTTGTATTCGACTGGATAAGGTATGGGATTGAGTTTGGTGCAGGAGTGCATATTATTGGTAATAAACGTGACTGAGTTAGATGTGGGATTGGTCAATATTATGATTGTCATACAGTAAGTGTGGAATTAAAGTCAAGTTGTCTGCATAGTGGCATGCTTCGGTAGTCAAAAATGGTGAGCGTCCCATTTCTGCAGGTCATTATTATGTTTTGGAAGTGAGCAAGCAGACATACTGAATGATTCTGCACCACTGGGTGATGAATTTGTGCATGTGAAGACTGATGTTGTTGAAACTCTTTAGGGCATGTGAACAACGCGGAAGAGCTAACAGATCACAATAGGCTCGGTAATATTGATACGTGACCAGACACTCAATGCTAAAAGAGAAAGGCAATACAAACATGAAACCAGACTGCAACAGGCACAATTAGCGTTGCAAGACTGTGCTGGTTGCTGCTGATGGGCATGGGGCTTTGTGCGAATGTTGTATTTATTTATATTTGCATTTTATAGTTAGTGCCTTGTAGGAGAGAGCGAGTACAGTTCAGGGGAGCAGATGGATCACCATAGTCTGGTGAGATTGATGCAGTAGGGAGTGATGAGAGGTTCTGGCAGATGCTCGAGGCTCAGAGGAAAGGCAAGACGGGCGTTTAATCAGAATGCTACTGGCACCGTCAGTATCGGAACTCTTCCCTGGCTGCTGAAGATGGGGACAGAACGCTTATGGGAATGCCCTGAGTCCTGTGATGTCGGTTCTTGAATCAACTCAAGTATGTTTGCATTTAAACAGCACAACCTGGTTCTTAATGTACATTTTTTTTTAAATTTTCTCTTGATCTTATAGATTTATATTATGATAGCTGCTTCCTAGGAGACAGCATGCATTGAAATACCCCATGTACAGTAACGTCGATTGCAATAATATAACATAACAGCCCCGTTCGTTATCAGTCTTTCTATAATGTTATATGGAGGCATAGGGACCAAAGCTCCTAGCATGTGTCACTAGCATGAACTCTCAATAGCACAATCTGGTAGTACTGTAGATACTATGTGTTGCACATGCACCATGATCCCTATTTCAGCCTGCTTTGTTAACTCCAGTGAGTTTGGCGCAGAGCATGCTGCAGAAGCTGCCAGATCAGAAGAGCAGCACTCTATGTGCTCTGTCTGTCCGCCTATCGCATCATCCCCCCCCCCCCCCAATACCAGCTGCCAATCAACAACTAAGGGCTTAGTCTGCTCTGCCAAACATAGAGTTAGAAGTTACATATATATGTTTACTCCTCAGGTTTCAAAGTGGACACCGTTGGTGGGTGGTTAAGAGATACTTGCTGCGCATGCGGAACCAGAGAGGTCATCATGGTCACTTTCTTGACCTGCATATCCCTGTTCATCTTTGATGGTCTGCAGGTCAGTTGTGCTCAGTCTCCTTGAGGCGCTTTTTTTTTTTTTTTTTGCTCCTAAAATACTTTTGTAATCTAAATTAACCATCTGGTTATTGGACACACCTGAGACAACCCCACATCTTCCTACAGAACTAAATGGTTAAAAGAGGATTAGAAAGTAAATCGAACAGTTGCATTCAATTCATCAGTTTTGGACATATATGCCAAACTATGTTCACCTTTTATTGTTTGACTATTTAGAATCAATATCAGAGTACTCATTCAAGTCAATGATTCGAATATTTAGGAGAAGTCCTAAAACCATAAGAACGATAGGAGAATGAATAAAAGCAGGACATCTCAAGGAATCACTGCATCATAGAAGATAAGTGATTGACGTTTAACCCGTTTAACCCCACCATGATATCACAACGAGCGATAAACACCCGATGACACAAAGCGTCACCATTCGGATAACCCTGGGATAGGTCCCAGAAAACCTGTTCAATCCACAGGTTGAGATAAATTAGGACCCCCGGCAACAGCGAGGGTGGCGATTGAAAACAACAACAATACTGCGTCTGACATTGGAACGTAGTATTGGTATGTCGCCATTGAAGATTAGCGTGTCTTAAGAAGTTAGTTTCAATGACTATGAAAGATAGAATTGAAATGTAGAATATGCCATAACGTATGATAGTAAATCTTGAAAGGTATCAGGTATATAAAGCTAGTATCGTACTGCTATTGACCAAAAGGCACCCAGTATGCGATCTTGTCAACATCATGCCGACAGCCTTTACTTCCCAGAACATTACCTGGTACCCATTTTATGTTAGGTCGACCTGGAAGCCAATTTAACAACAAAGTTTTTAAAAAATCCGCCTCGATTAGAATTCAAACCAAAGACCATTGAGTGGACAGGTGAGCGACTTGCCACTATGCAACTACCACTCCCGAAAGTCTTATCAAATTCCATAATGTGAAACATTGATTGCATAAACCAAATTTATCTTATGTTTCCACTGTCCTCAGTCGTCATTCGCCAATTACATCTACACATATGCCCACGAGTCAGGAGTAGAGGGACTGAAGAAATACGAAGGTGCCGTTCTGGATGCTTGCTTCTGGGTAAGAAACTGTTTTGGCTTGTGAAGAGTTAACCCTTTAAATGGATATGATGGATAAATCTAACGCAGCTAGCTCGGTGGCTATGACGGTTATAGCTGTCAGGGACTGTCTACGGCCAGTCTCGAGTAGGTATGGCTAGCTACAATATGCACGCGCGACTCTCACTGTTTGTTGGAGTGTATTCACTTGGCAGAAATGTTGAATGTTAAAGTAAGAATCGACATTAAAGCACTCGTGACACTCCTGTGTGTGCTCCGTCTCAATCTTCAGCAGCAAGCGAAGAGTTACAATTCCGATGGTACCAGTAACTGTCTGATTGTACATTGGTCTCGACTTTTCCTTAAGTTTTAAGCGTCAAGCCAGATCATCCCCAGGTAACAACCCTCGCAGCGCCATTCTCCTCAGACCTTGATGATCTATGTGTGCCTCTGCACTGTTCACTCGCTCCCAAAGGGTCCTCATATCTAGCTTGGCATACATTAGTTAATCACCAAGTAGTGCGAACCGGCCAGTCTATTTGCATGCTCGTTTTCCAACACAGTAGCACCACCTGGAGGAAATATCCAAAGGACGCTAAATACCCAGGGCCTCTAAAGCGATGCTTGCCACTATGCACGGAGTATGCCTGTCTCCACCTTTCTCGACATACTCTGTGAGTCAGTTACAATTACGACATGTATGTACAGCTGATTCTAAAACCAGCGAAGGGCAGCAGTGACTGCCTCCACCTCCATTCTCAAACTAGACGATGTTATATATGCCAGGCAGAAAGAAAAAAAAATCTTTTTAGTAGGTATGTATGGGGTCATACAGTGTTTACTGTCAGCTTGTTGCGATTGGTATCCTTCCCAGGTAACAGTACACTGATCGTACTGGTGTCTCATTCTCTCCAGGACATAATAATCTTCTTTCTTTACTGATTCCTTTGCTTGTTCCCAAAGAGACTTGACCACATCTGCCTTGTTATGTATCAATTCACCACCCAGTGGTGCAGATCCAGCCGATCTTTCTGCCTGTTCATTACCCTCTATGGCCTGGAGAAAAAATCCAAATTATGCTCACTACCCGTGACCTTCCCAGTGAAGCTTGCCACTCTCCTCGAAGCATCCCTGTCTTCACCTTTCTCAGCATGATTTTAGAGTCTGTTAAAATTACGACATGTATATACATCTTGTTCTCTAGCCACCGGAAGCAGTGGGGTCGTGTTTAAATCCTCATGGCAATGCCATGCAATGACTCTAGATGCATGCTTGCTTCGAAACAGTTTAACAATTGTTGCTCCCTCCTCGTCTTTCTCCTACTCCTCTACGTCTTCTTCTTCTTAGTAATATTTCTTTCTGTCTTTCTTTCTTTCTCTTTTTTTTTTAAATTTTTTTTCTTCTTCCTTTGTCTTCTTTCTCTTCCACCTCTTCTTTCTTTCTTTCTTTTTTTCTTTCTTTCTTTCTTTCTTTCTTTCTTTCTTTCTTTCTTTCTTTCTTTCTTTCTTTCTTTCTTTCTTTCTTTCTTTCTTTCTTTCTTTCTTTCTTTCTTTCTTTCTTTCTTTCTTTTCTTCCTTCCTTCTTTTCTTCTTCTTCTTCTTCTTCTTTCTGCCACTTTTCCTTATCCTATGGTGTTTGAAAAGAAGATCTTTACATTTTTAAGGCTGTTTTTTAATGCTGGCGTTCCATGTTTTGCCTGTTCCGCTCTCAGCCTCTGTATTTCTTCAGCATGGCTGTCTGTGACAGTTGGTGCCATGTCATTCTTGTCACACAAGCAAACCATCTTCTCTTCTGTTGCTCTTTAAAGAACAGTGTGACTGGTTTCAGGTCCAGTCTTCTAATTACTTAATGTTTAATGTTATCCCTTCGTTTTACATTGACATTTGTTCTTCTACATAGCCTCTCCCTTTTTATTATGGGCCCTCATCAGTTTCCTTAGATGTCTATATTTGACACTGATAGCGTAGAGATACCCTCCCTTTTCCAAAGTTACTGTAAAATTTGCCGTGGTAGGCAGCAGTATTCTTGTGCCAAATGTGGTATTGCTTGTCCCCTTAGCACATCGTTAAGTGATGACTATCCCTTCTTCCTTTTGACTGAAAATTGTCGCTAAATCATTTGCTATATTTAAATATCTAATATACATGGCATACCTTTGTAACAAAGCCACTAATGCGAGTTTCCCTAGAGATAGAGATTGCCTATCAGGGTTAGAGTTTTCTATTACCTTTTTTTTATAAACTGTTTAAGAGCAGCCACTTATTCGTTAAGGACTCCAGTCAACAACTCCAGTGATACGTGCACAGCAGTAAATAAAC